ACTCTTGGACTTTCATATACATTTGTCGCTGCTCCATATTTACTGTGAAGATGGAGAGAGGCAAACATCTGTGCAACCCTAGTGGTAGATTTGGAAGAATGGGTACAAACTGATAGGGTTTGGAGGTCTCATGTAAGACAATGGAAAAGGAATAAGCTGCCTGAATTCTGACGCTATGACCAGGTTGAACCACAGTGCCCAGAATTCGAAGCAACCACATCCAATAATGGTGCTGTAGCCATACATCTGGTATTAGCAAGTTGGAGAAGTATGACCTGTTCCCTTTCTTTCCCTGCCACTTGACAGTAATTGTTGCAATAATGGGCTGTGAAAATCAACAGGAGGCATATGAGAAGAAAAACAAAGAGTACATTCTCTTTACATCCACCCAAATTGCTAGGCCTGGCCTCTGTTTTGTTCTCTGCGGTAAAAGCGGTCACTTTGGATAGCTAAGACCTCAGCTGCTTTGTTCACCTTAAATAACTGAAATGGGAATAAAGCTGCTTCTGTCAGTAATCCCCTTCTTTTATTATTCCGCTAAAGCAAGCTTTTTCAAATCTCTTGACCTACAGCACCAGTCTGTACTGAAATAAGAGAGCAATTGTGTAAAGTAAGAAGGAGAAAGTATGAATTGGGATGCATTCAGATAGCATGTTTTTAAACCATGTAATCACCCCCATTTTATATTTCAGCTAGGAAGTCCTTGAAAATTCTCAGCACTTATTTGTCAATGTCAGATTTCTGAAGAAATTGGAATACTGCAGCGCCCAATAGGTCTGAGCTAGTGGACCGTTACAGGTGATCCTCTAAATACTTGAGCTGTTGTAGTGTGGCCTGATCATCATCATCATGCTGTAATACTACTTTACTAGGTTGCCATTCTTAGTTCAATTTGGTGTTTCTGCATTTACCAGCTCAAGTACTCTTTGTGGTCTTATACCAGCCTTTTTCTCCTTCCTTACCCTCCTTTATCAATTTAGCTTGGTGAACTTTTTACATTTTTATAACTTTATAGCATGACTAGGCAATATAGTAGCAGGATATTTTGAAGATGAGTAAACATATATAGCTGACAACTTGGAATACCATTTCTACAAAAGTATTTTTTTTAAAACTGTATCTTCTTGCTTGCTTTTCAGGATCCTTTAGATCCAACAAAGACAGCATTTGTGATCAGTTCACTTGTGCCATGTGGAGTGGCTGAACGTGGTGGTGAACTTTTCCCTGGTGACCGCTTGGTCTCTGTAAATGATGTGTGTTTGCACAATATTACTCTAGAAGAAGCTGTAGAAGTTCTGAAATCTGTGCCACCAGGGGAAGTTCACCTTGGAATCTGCAAACCTTTGGTGGTAAGTGGCATTAAATTTATGTTTTATAACTTGCATTTTCCAATTCAGTAATGCCTAACAATTTGAGCAAAAGTCACCAAGATTTTGATGGAGACAAAATATTTTTTACCATAAATTCTTCGGATCTTTTATCCTCTTTCTGAGTTTTGCCATGATTAGAAGTCCAGATACTGTATGCTAAAGAATCAGAAACATTTTGTCTTGGAGACAGGATTTCTATCTTATTTTTTAATACATTTTGAAAAATATATTAAAAATTTAAATAAATTCTAATTCACTTAATTAAAGGTGAATCACTTTAATTTGCTTAAATTTTATTTCAAATTTATATCCCAACTTTTTGCCTTAGTGGACTCTTGAAATTGTTTTGAACCACTTACAATTAAGATGTAAAATTACAGTGGAATTAGAACAGTAATTCAGAAAACAAAAACAGCAGGAGTCATCTAAGAAAACAGAGATCACACTAGAAGCAATTAAGATTATGATTATGATTTAAGAAAAGAGAAAATGCTACTGTTGAGAAGATTCTGTTGGCAATAATCTATGCTACTATGGCTCAAATGGAATCAAAATTCTGCCTTTTCTTTGGCAAACTTTACTGATAATCCTAGGTCTTTGTTGAAGATCTTTTCTTGCTGCATGCATCTTGCCTGACTTTGCGTGATCTGTCTGTTCATGCATGTGTAGAATATTAAGGGTATTCATTGTACATGAAAAAACAAACAAAACTCAAAGAGCATATTGATCCATGGGAGAAAATCCAAAAGCTATAGTTTGGTAATAGTTTTACTAGGACCACACCAATGCCACAAAAGAATGTGCAAGGTTTCTAGAATTCTTCATTAGGCTGGATAGTACCAAAATAATGTTTGTATTGTTTATGATTTCAAGACAGTTTAAGGAGCAACGTACAGACTGAATGTACTGGCCACTAGACACAGTGCACCTTTCAGATTCTATGTAGCATTCTAATCAATAAAAGGTACTATTACTATCTGGCATTCTAAGACAAAGAGCAAACTCAATTAACCATATCCCAGACCATATATTCCTGGCAAACAGCAGTGATAAAGAGAAATACAGTACTCTTTATATTGGCAAATCAAGAGATTAAATCAACTACCTTTGGCTACCTATATCAAATCAAAATTTTATTACAGCCTTAGAGCCAGAAAAACTACCTAAAATGTATAGAGCAGGGTCATTTTTATTGGTCCTAAAAGTATTACCCAACTAATGAACTTCTGATGTTGTTTTAAAAGAAAATACACACTTCATCTATATAAATGCGTTTAGACTATATAGATAATCAGAGTACGATTGACTACAGAATGGATTACATATAATATACCTGTACTGTGCCACAATTTATCATAATCTTAAATGAGTGGAAACTTTTCAGTTTGATGTATAAAATTGCAAATATTATGCAACTTTTAAAATATAAGACTTTAAACATGTTTAGAATATTTTGTTCTTTTGTGGGTCTGTCTGTGGTTTCTGTTCAATTATCACCTAGTTAGCTGTGAGTTCTCATAGCATCAGATATTCCTAGATAATTCACTAGTTCCAAAACTTTAAAACATTTAATTAAAAAGTTAAAACTATACTAAAATATGCTGCTTAAGTATAGATAATGATGAGCTAGGAAACTGTTTTTGTTAACTCTATTAACATAGGAATTTGTGAGAAGTAATTTAAAGTAGATGAAATAAATTAGTGTGCCATAAGGATATGGGTATAATTTTATACAGCCCATATGTTTAGCTTATTGTATCTTGCAATTCTTTTCACATTTATCTGTATTTTCTGTATTATATACTTCTTCTTAGGACTATTGACTATTAACTTTCCATTTTACCTTCTGCATTTCTTTGGAGTAGCCTTTCTGCTACTCTCTGTCCACAAGCTGGTTTCTTGCTATTGTCTTCTCTTTTTAAAAAGTTGGGGTTTGATATTTTCCTGAATAGTGACTTGCTTTTTTAAGGGTGAAAATAAACATCATGGGACTTCTTCTGTGGAAACCAAGAGACTTACCAGAAGTTCAGTATCTCAAGAATCAATCAATAATATTGAGTCATCAATACTCCTTGCAGCTCCAAAGGTTTCTATTCATGTTTATTTCCATTACATTTACAGTTGTCCTATGTAAAGGTTTTTGGAGAATGAAAGTTGAGTTGAGATATACTAAATATTTATTTGAATCAGTTGTAGTCATTCCTAAGATACACCATTCTGTAAATCAAGAGGGAAAAAATAATGTTTCTATTTATGTAGAGAACGTTTAAAATTTTCCTGCTCCTCTATGTAATGTGTGAAATCTGCCCTGTAGCACAAACTGATTTTCTTTGATGTGGCATGGAAAATTTGTTATGTTCCCTTGGCGTCTCCTCAAAAAGAGGATAATATATATCCTATATTTCCAAAGAGATACAGTATAAGGATCTGTCTTGAATATTGAAGATGTGGGAACAAAGTGATTCAAGCCGCAATGTATAGTTAGATACAGACGGGTCTTTTCCAAGTAACCATGCATGGCATTGTGTTTCAGGTCTTAGCAAATTCCATATCCCTGTGTTCACCCAAATTTGCTTTATAAGCAGTTCAGTCAGCAGGATATATAATAATAATTTGTAAGATAATTTCACTAGATAACTTTATTTTTTAAGTGTGAAATTATGTTTATAAATTAATGTTTTTCAAAAATATGAAAATGTTTTGTAAAATCCAGCATCTTCCTGGGCCAGAAATCATCTATGTGTTTGTCTGTCTGTCTATCACTAAATAGCTCTGTTTTGATGTTTTGTGTAGGACTTCAGAGATGAATCTAAAGAAGAACTTGTTGATGAACCAATCTTGGATTTGGGGAGACAGTTTCAACTTTTGCAGAATGAAACAGATGTTGATAAGGAATCCTGGGAAATGCATGAGTTTTTGAAGCCTATGGAAGAACATCTTGGTGAAGAACGAGAGATGCTAGTGGATGAAGAGTTTGATATGGATCAGCATTATGAAATATGTCTGCCAGCAGATATAAGAGAACTAACTTCATCTCCTGAGATGGACTTTGAAACTGCAAGGCAGTGGGATAAAGAACTAGACTGTGCTAAAATAGTGGAATTGAATCCTGCAGAAGATCTTAATGCTAAAGAGGTATTTAGAGATATTATATAAAAAGCAAAGGACAAATGAATTTGAATAGTAAATAGTATTGTGATGTCATATATTCAGTGCAAATATTACTATTCTCTTATTATAGCACTTTAAAATACAATATCTAAATGGTCTGAAGATCATTAAGAATATTCAGATGCTTTCTCTGAATGCCATTAACATAATACTTAAAGCATAATCAAAGCAGCCATTAGTGATTTTGGAAAGCAGGCCTTAATGATATGTCAGTTTTTAAAACCCAGCTTCTATTAAACTCAGCTTGTTTCTGGTAGCATAGGGCTATGTCAATGACTTTCAATTCTGAATTGCCTTTATTTCTTTACTGAAGAATGAAGAAAACAGTAGTAATAATTCACTATTCCATGGTGTTTCAGTGGAATACAGCCAACCAAATCCTATACTGGATGGTAAGTGAAAAGAGCAAGTATTCAGAATAAATAAATACATTTCAGAGCTAAAATTATCTATGAAAGGACAAGCATTAGTGGGAGTTTAGTGGCTGAAAAAGGCTAACATTAAAAAGTGTGTTTTGAAAGATAGCTAAAATATTTCAGAATTTGGGCTTATTATTATGTATAAGAGAGATGCCACTGAGGAGAAAACCCAATTCTGCATGGTTCCCCAATCTATCACATGGACAGAGAAAGCTTCCCCAAAGATCATAGCTACCTACAAGGCTGATGTGATTGAAGATATTCCATGAAGTTTTTAAGGTTTTATATACTAATATCAGCATCCTGAATCTGTGTAAAGCAGTCTGCCATCCAATGAGGTCTGTGCTGGTTGTAGCATCTAGACCAGTCTCAAGGGCAGATTGAGAAGTAGCAAGTAGGAAGGATTATATCTTGAGGCTACCAGTGTATGAATATAGATAAGCTAAATTATCCTACCTAAGAACAGGTTATCCATCAAAAATGATAGATCCACAAGTATTCCCAAATTTTAAACCTGTTCTTGCAGAGCTGGGGGTTAGGAAGTACAATCCCATCCAATTACCCTCATTTTTAGAACAGAAAAATATTCAACCACAGTGTTTCCATCTTATTAGTATTTAACTTCAGTTTACTAACATTTAAACATTTATTTATTTATGACCCCAGTTATTTAGCATACATTCTGGAAGTCAGATTGTGTGTGCAGTTCTTATTTTGTACAATCAGTTAATGTAAGAATATTGAATTCTTGGTATAATGCATGAAGTACTAGAATTTGGAGGTACTGTATATGGACCATGCCAGCCTAGCAGCTGGGCAATAGATATTGTAGGAAAAGGCCAAATACTTTGATCAAGCATGCAAGCTCATCCTCTCACTACAAGGAGTTGCATGAGACGTGCACACACTGGGCCCATCTCTCATCCTCCCTATTTCTATCTGCTTTCTCTTGGGAAGTCTGAAGGGCAGATGTACTTTGAGTTTACTTGAAGACAAGTGCTGTATTATCACAATCAGGGGCCTGGTTTTTTTATGATTGTAGGACAGAGGAGAGCTGTTCAGGTGAATACTGCTCCCCTTCAAACCACTTAACTGAATGTGTGAAGGCAGGCTGTATGTCTGGCCCCATTCTCTTCTCACTCTCAATCCTTCATACATTCAGGCAAGTACCCGAAAAGGGCTAGTGATCATCCTAAAGGGAATAGTCCTTTTAGAAAGGGTTGTCAATTATTACACTTAGTCTTAATTAAGTGCATCTGAGAGCATGGAGTAATAACAAATCTCTTCTTGTAAGGTATTGCAATGCAAAGTGACCCTAAAGAAGATCTATACATTAATGTTGATCATGAAGGATATAAACTGAAAAATGAAGATACTGATCTTTCCAGCATCCAAGATTCTGCCCTACTTAGAGTAGTGCTGTCTAGGTATGAAGTGATGTGCAACTAAAAATATGTTGGTAATTTTGACTTACCTGAATACAAATAAGAGGAAGAACTATTTCTTTTTACCTATGATGAGAAATTATAGCAATGATTTGTCAATAATTACAGTTTTAATTCAGTTGGTAGCATGTTTTATCATCTAAATAACTGTTGGAGGCAAAGGTAGGCATATTAATTTGTTAAGATCAAAGGTGTTATAAGAGAGAGTAGAGTGTCTGTCAAGTCAAGCCTAATTCCTGGTGATTACATAAAAAGACCCATGTTGCTGTCTTGACCAAAATATGAAAGGGGTTTGCCATTATGTGTGTGTCTGTGTCTGTGTCTGTGTCTCTGTGTGTGTGTGTGTGTGTATTGTAAATCTAGTCCACAGCCTTAGGATTTCCTACTGGTTTCCTATCCAAATACCAACAGGCCCATCACTGTTTCACTTTTTTAAGATCTTGAAAATTGGATAGATCAGTGTTTCACAACCTTGGCAACTTCGACTCCCAGAATTCCCCAACCAGCATGGGGATCCTTCAACTAACTTTGATTTCTTCTACTTCTCATGACTAATGATGATGGTGATGTTCATGACAGTAGAATCTTTTCTTGCTACACACTGAAACATATCAACTTCACTCACAAAATTATTGCCTTTCTTTCTGTAGAGATAGATCATATACTTAATTAAGAGAATAATTGCAGGATACTGTCTGTTTAATAAACAAGTCGGAGGTGATCCATTTTCATTAACGTTTACAAAAAGGCAAAGAAACTTGAGGATTCTTGGCAATATGTAATTCTGATATCTATAAAGAATGTGACACATGTATATAAATGTCGCATATTATATCCATTTTCTTTAGTGAATTGCCTGAAAGAGAAGAAGGAGAAGGCGAAGAAACTCCAATTTTCAGTCACTGGGGACCACCCCAAACGTATGTTGATAAATATTTCAATATTTCTTTTGCCTTAGAAATCATTTGAGGCTGTTGATCATGAAGTATGCATGTGCCTTTCCTTTTTAATCTCTTGCTGGAGGCACTTGGCTTGATCACTTGCGTATTTTATACCATTCAGGAAGAGCGGTGAGACAATAGCTGCTTGTAAAATGCTGAAGATAGAATTAATGTTTATCAGATGTTCTGCTGAATGGTCTTATATCAGTTTCATTGATTTTTACATAATTTCCTGTAAGGCTGTGTGCAAAATGGAAAGTGTTTTTGTTTCAAATCTGAAACAAACGTACTGTGTTTTGGATGTTCAGCTCTGGTTCAGCATATAATCTGGAACATTTTAGCTATTTCAGGTCTCAGCAAAAACAAAATCTGCTTACAGGGTGAGCAGGGCAAGGCTGATACAGCTTACCCCTCTTTTCCTTCCTTCACATGGCCTTATACTGGTGCACCCACTGATCTTCCCAGCAGCTTCCTTTCTTTACTTTCCCTTATGCCTTGTTTGGAGCCAAGCAAATACGTAGCAGCTAAAGGAAGGTAGGGAAAGGGATGTGCTAAGATCAGAAAGGGAAGTGGTTAGATATGCCATGCTTGAAGCCAAGGATATTGGTGATGCAACCAGCCAGCCCACCCTTGATTTTCCAGTACCTTCCTTTCCGTACTTGACTTTACACATGGCATATCCACCTGGCCCACCTACCCCCAGTCTCCCCTTAGCTACCTAAGTGTCCTTGGCTTTTTTCCACTCTCCTCCCCAAAATGCTTCTGCCCAAAACATGAGCATTTTGGTCCGTGCCTAAACTTATATGTTTCTTTGTGGACAAATTTTGACTGACCCAAACTAAGTATTCTATGTATGGAACCTTTTACACTTGCCTGTTTTTAATGCAATGGATTATGCAGTTTACTGTTTTAGTTTCATCTATATATTCTTCTATATGTATTCTACTAGCTGCTTGCATCATATGCATTGATTCTTATTAGCATCTGTTTCAATTAAGGAAATTATATGCCTTAAAAAAAGAGAAAGATGCTTAAGCTTTGAGCACCTGCCAGTGAAATCCAATGAGCTGTAGCTCTTACTGAGAATATGTTAGTAGATTTGGGGTTATTTCTTCATAAATAGCTTGTAGAATGCTTGTCTCCTTCTATTTTATTGTCACATTTATATCCACAAATACACAGTACACTACAAGAGATACTGGTCCAGAAATATTCAAAGTAGTTTTACATTTGGGGGCTACAAGACAGAAGAGAGATGCATCTGGGCCTCAGATCAATAGAATATGCTCACTGGAATCATACTTTTAAACCCTGAACTTGAGGATTTGTTGTTGTTGTTGTAAAGCTGTGAAGGTCTGGTTGAGAATCTGCTGGAAGAGAGGAAATAAAAGTACAATACGCACAGAGTTCAGTGTGTGCTTCTGCAGTGAAGCCATTTAACTTAGATGAGAGGCACAAATGAGTATCTCATTTGCCTTTCCATCTGTATTAATAGCCCATGTCCATCAAACAATCTGAGTTGATTTTTGAATGACAGGTTTTAGGAACAGGGGTGTGGAGCAGACTTAAAGCATACACCAGAGTATAGCATAAATGATGATAACTGCATAAGAGTTTTTTTCAGTTTTCCCTGTGTTTGTGTATAAGGCTTCCTTCTGTCAAAAATAATACGATATAAATGGAATAATTCTGTGTTTTCTTGCTCTAAAAACCAGTCAGATGATGGGCCAAATAGGCAACACAGAATTACCTATTTGGCCCATCACCTGATTGCTTTTTAGATATGATTTATGACAACAAACATAACTGCTCTAGCTTCAGAGTGAGCAAAATCTAATAAAAGCACTGCTGGATCTGTTATAAGCCAGTGTTCTGTTGGTATTGCCTTTGGAAAATCCACTGTCTAGTAATTGGTTTCCAGAAAAAAATTGCCCCTCATACTGGAGTTAAGCTGTCATGACTAGTAGGCACTGGCAGTGTTGTTCTGTATGAATTTCCTGAAATTCATCTTGGAATCAAAAAAAGAGCAAGCCTGTTTCTCAGGCAAGCATAATCAAGGAGTCAGGACAAGAGATCTTAAAGCATGAGTAATGATGTGATAAGAGCTCAGGAAGAGGTCAGATTTGTGGGGCCTGGTGGAATATTTAGACAACCACCATCAAAAAATGTGCACCATTTAACATGAAATAGAACCTGACTCTGGGGATATAGTAAATCTCAAAATAGCTTTCAAATGGACCACTAGAGCTAAAAGCTACTGGAAACCCCTCGGGAAGATGGGGGCGCAAGTGTGCCAAGTGTTAAGTTGTAAATATATTGAATAGAATAAAGAAACTCATTGGGACTTTGGAAACAAGCTGTATACTGTAAAATAAACAAAATGACATATTTTGGACGGTGTTGCTCCATGTGCCAAATTGGCATGGAATCTAATACTTGAACAAAAGCTAAGCCCCACTTCTTTTATTGGATACCAGTCAAGAGCTAACAAGAAACGTAGCCAAATACTGCCTTGTTATAGTGAAAATGTGGCAACCGCCAATATTCATTGGACTAATATTATTTTTACCTTTTAATTTAAACTTTATTATTGTGTACCTTCCTGGGTGAATTGTTGTACATTTTCCTTGTTTTTCTGTTTTGTTCCTTTGTCTGATATTTGATCTTATAAATAAATGTAATAGAAATATTTTGTGTTTTAACATTTGATTTGAAACCTAAAAGGAATAACTATGGAAGCTAAATGTATTTATCCAGTCATTATAGTTTGATGTTCCTGACTATACATAGAATCAAAACATTCATGTAACACAGATATAAGAATCATTCTTCTTCACAACAGAAGTAAGAAGTTGTACACCATCTACAGTTATGCTAGGAAGGATTTCCTGTACGATTCTTGTAACTCACACCATGAAAATGGCATATCTTGTTTTAAAAGGGGTAGGTTACATGGGGCTGGGTGACATTTAGTGGTCTGTGGGCTATATTAATGTGTTGAGGGGTATGGACTACAGTGAAGAAAATTGACATTAAAAGCAGGCATACAGATCAGAAGCTGTGATTTATTTTTACTTTCTTGAAGTTTTAAAGGGATTGGGTTTTTAAAATGATGTTAATTCAGGGAAGACTGAAATGAAGGACCCAGGTATCATGCAACCTGTAGCTGCGGTCCACTCATTTTGTGTTCTATCATAGAACAAACCAGGTGCTTTGGATTTGGATAGGTCACAGATTTTAGGAAAAATCATTTAGCTCCAGCTTCTTGTATTCAGAGCATTGTTTCCCCATACAGAATTGAAATTTTTCGGGAGCCCCATGTACCTCTTGGCATCAGTATTGTTGGTGGACATACAGTTATAAAACGCCTGAAGAATGGAGAAGAGCTTAGAGGAATATTTATCAAGCAGGTTTTGGAAGAAAGCCCAGCAGGAAGAACAAAGGTTCTCAAAACAGGAGATAAAATACTTGAAGTAAGTTCAGACTTCCATTTTAAAAGGTTGTAGCTGTCTGCATCTGCCTGATTGAACAGGCTCAAGCACATTTTTAGAGAGATTCTACTGACTTCAAATTACAGACTTAGTAAATGTTTACAGCCTGACTTTAGCTGTTTATCTTATGTGTGAATGCAAAATAATGATTGTGTGAATTGTGAGTGTGGTATTTGTATTTTTTGAGTGCGCTGGCCCGTATCCCCTATGGAGAACTGCACATGCTGCTTATCTACATGAGAAGAGATTAATAAGTTCTACTAGAAACATATGCATAAATAATTTTTCTTTCTGACTTATTGATGACAAGGAGACTAGAAAGTGGGCTTACTACTTCATGGGAAATTTCTCTTTAGGGATCTTGTAACAGAAGGGTTCCTGAAAAGAAGCTTATTTCCCATCAGTTGTCAGGCTCTGCTCTGTGGAGTGGTGCAGTCAAGAGGAGAGCATTGTAATGCCAAACAGTTAGTCAGAGAATAACAGGAAATATTTGAGCAGTCTAAACACATATTAGGAAACAAAATATACACGAACATGAAGCAAAATGCTCAGATTGTAATGGAAGTTTGAGGCAGCTCATTAAGGAAAACAAATTCAAGATATTGTTTAATTTGGCCCTGAGTTGAATGAATAAACCCAATGTTATAAAAATATGTCCAAGAATTCAGTCTTTGTATAAATGTTTAATTTTTATCGATCTAATAGAAGTATTTGTAAATGTCTTTGATGTCATTGATTAGCTGTTGTATTGATGCTGTGATTAACATTTTAATCAGGGTATCTGTTGATATTAGTAAAGCTCTTTGTGGTTGTTATTCAAGTCTTTCAACTGACTGAGATCTGGGAGAAGTATATCTAAATGAGCTCATTTCTCTGCAGGTGTCTGGAACAGACCTACAGAATGCTACTCATGAAGAAGCTGTGGAAGCTATCAAAAATGCAGGCAATCCCATTGTTTTTGTGGTGCAAAGTCTGTCAACTCTTCCAAGGGTAAGTTATCTCCAAATCTTTCCTGGAGAAGGCATTTTTTTAGAGAAGGGTGGTTTTTAAACTTATTTACATGCTGTATTAATTTTTTCCTTCTCTTATCTTTGAACCAAAGTCTTTAAGATAGCCGACAAGAATCCAACAACAGATGAATGTCAGCATTAAAATTAACCCATGACTGCTTATTTCTAGAAGTTGAAAGGTTGCATGAGAAAATGTGGCTATACCTGGGAAAGTTTCTACAGCAGGGATGGGAAGCTGTTATTATAACAGCTCTCTTTGGACTTCGCACCCCTCTCCCCCAAGACTGATGTTTAGTGAAATAACAATACTGATATTGCCATTATTTTTTGCCTGAATGAAAAGTAAAATAACACATCCCTATTGCTTTTTTGAGAAAGTCCCAAATTCCACTAAATGGAAAATACTGGAAAATCTAGTTATGCTCCCTCCAAGAGATGACATTGCACCGCTACGATACTCCATGTGGATTCAGGGGTGAAAAACGGAATGAAAAATATGCAGCAACATCTGGGCCCCATAGCCCTTTCTAGAGGCTAAGGAGCTCTTCAGACTTTTTATCTTATCCTACATGCATATCAAAAGGACATCTTTTTTGCTTACTTTTGTTTCTATCATTTCTAGTAGTTAATGTTTTTTAAATTTAATTTTTATGGAGAATAGATTTCAGTTTGCGGGAGAGAAAAAGTGTGGGAGTCAGTCTGAAGTCTAGGCAAGTCTCTATTTCAGAAATGGTTTTGTTTGCTTTGTTTTCATTTTTCTCTTTCCCTTAGTTTTGATTCATTCATGTAATTCTTTTTTTCCATTAGGTTTTCTTTGGTTTCTCATTTTTTTTTTTCATTTTTGCATCCCTTTTTTCTTTTTCTTGTTCAAAGTTCCAGATTTTCCCATAGCCAGTGTTTTTTATATTTTTATTTTTACTTTATTTATAACTTGTTGGTGTTTTTTTTTTACTTTTATTTTTTATAAATAAGTGTACATTTCAGTTATTTGATTATGATTTTTCATTTCTTTTGGCTTTGACACAAAATCATGATTGGATCTTTCCAAGATGAAATTATATTTTAATTTGATCATGGAATGTTAAGGGTCTGAGATATACATCCCAGGGGAGTTTTTTTTTAAAAAAAACCAAACTGGATACATTGAAACCTGAAATATTGTTATGCAAAAAAAAAAATTTTTTCTTGGTGATAAATATTTGCTTGCAAGGAATTGTTCTGATCAGATTTCTATTTCTCATGAATCAAAATTGTCCAGTAGAATTTATATTAATTAAGAATTCTTCAAATTTAATAGATAAGCAAGACATTTTCGATTCTGAGGGCCACTATATAATTTTGGTTGTTAGTAATTTTAATAGTTACTCGCTTTTATGATCCAAACAGAAATAAATGAGACATTTTACATGGATATTTTGCCAAACATTTTAGTTTGTCCATAACATGATGATTGGGAATTTTAAGTTAGCACTGGACCCTTCAATTAACAAAGTTTCCAGTTCTGGAATGGTCTTCATGCTCATATAAAATAATTTAATTTGGTTGACATATGGAGATAATTAAATCTGACTCAACAAAGATATACTTTATATCAGTTCCTCATGGTACATATTCTCATTTAGATTACTTTTTATTATCACAATCCATAGTTAATTGTGCAGAAAATTGTTGTATAACTCTGTCATGTAATTGATGGTGATCCGGTTATATTATCAATGGGTTTTCTTGGTAAGAAGTCTTAAGCAGGTGTAAAGTTGTATTTTAATAAATCATTATTAGAGGATTTAGTTTGTTGGTCAACAATAATATTTTGAGGTGATATGCAAACAGATGATCAACCTGTCTGAAGATTGTTTGGGATTCATTTAAAGTTTATACATGGGCAGATCTGTAGCATTTGTTTGATAGAAGAAAAAAAATCTTATTGTAGTAATTTGTAAAGTAAACTAACTGAGAGTATATAGATAAGGAACATATTCTGGAATTGTATACAGCCTTTAGATCAGCTTTCCCAAGCCAGTGTTCCTTTAAATAGGCTGGGGCAGTAATTCATAATTTTCAGCTGGGATGTCTCAGGGTAATCAAAATGATAACAACCATGTATCAGCAGGCTGATCATAGGGAAAGATCCCTAAGAGACAAACATATTTTAGTGATGTTTTTACTCCCAAAACATCAGAGACAGACTGAATTTGTTTAACAACCATAGAAAGCTTACTAGGAAAAATAAATAAACAAATAAATACAAATCTGGAAACTTGTGGGTAGGAAGAAGGGAGAAAGAAATGGTATATTTTGCAAGAAGATATGGTTGGTTGGCTGGGATCCTGCAACATTTGGTTATTGATCCCTCTTTGGATATCTTATGCATACAGTATATACATAAACATTCACGTTTGTATTCTGCAGATAGTTTCAGTAGTAAACCCCAAGAAAAAGAAAGGCCAGGATCAGGACACAGAAGAAGCCGAAAAGGTAGGTGCAGTCTCTCACTTTCCAAAATCAGATTCATAAAATAAGTTATCATTTTAAAACAAAAGCCAAGATTTGTTTAAATGGAAGAAGGCAGATAATATCTGGACTTATATAGTAGACTTTCTGACATTTTTTGAAAAGTTAAATAAAATTATTTGTAACTGCACTTTATTTTTATTACTGTTTATACAGTATTATTAGATGTAAACAGTTGAATAACATTAGAAGCAGTAACAACAGCTGTAACAAAGAAGAAATATGGGTTTAAGTTCACATTTGAGTGAGCTAAAAATAATAGTTACAAGTCTTAGCTTTCAGATAATTAAGTTAATAGGCAATTTCCGAAAGTAATTAGAAAGTGAGGTTTGTGAACTTAATGTCCTTTAAAAAGCTGTGCTGTGGTTGTAAGCAAAATGGCTGATCCCATCATCTCCCAGTGCTTGAACCCGCAGGAAATCACTGTCCTGCGGTCTCCTCGCGAGGAACAGCCATCCGGAGCATGTGGATGATCTTCTGTCCTCTCCTTATCCCGAGAGTTCCATGGAACCAGTCTACTCACCAGTTCCTTGGTCTTTGCTGTGGTTATGGGCTCTGTTTTCCTCCCCCAGAAGTCCTGAAAGTAAAAACATATTGTGTGGTAGCATGGTTCGTGGTATGATTGACTGATAGATAATCACTTTTCTCCAGCAAGGCAGTTTACATAGGGCTCTCTCTTCACTTTCCATAAGAACAACCATGTGGGCTAGGATGAACCTTTTGAATTCTAGATCTCTTCACTTTATAGTCCAAGAACAGAACTCCTGGTTTTCCTAAAAGGGGTGGAAATTAGTACTTTCATGGATGCTAGAAAAAACTATAGGTAGCATGTCTTTGTTTTTATGTAGACTATCAACACCCAATTTTTTTTTTTAATGCTATGTTAGGCATGCAGATACCAACTATGAACTTTTCGATTTATGGATCTCTATTTCAGAACCACACCAGAAATCCAGAATAGTGGAGTGTTTATAGAATGTGTTTGGATCCATTTAGGCCATCCTCCCCTAGTTGAATGGCCCTGTGATATATTGAATAGCTACTCCCATAATCCCAAATCTGAAAAATCTTCTGGAGGGCAGCAGATTAAAAACTAAATACATAAAATGATCACTGCAGATTAATCAGACACTTCTGAAGTCCTTTCTCGGAGTTCAAAAAAGACAAATCGTGGTCTGTATAATGCAGTCACTATAGCTTTAAGCATTTTAAACTTTAAACTCAATGTCTAAAATTAAGAGACTTGAGAATGTCCTTGCTCAAAAAAAAGAACTGACTAGAAAAGAGGGGAGAACTTTTGCTTATATGCTAGCATCTTTTGGTTTTTGAAACAAAAGTGCTTGCTGTTCAGATGAATATGTCTAGCTTTGTATGACTAATACGCCCTTTCCTGGATCGGGATGCCTTGCGGACAGTCACTCATGCCCTCGTTATCTCCCAGATAGACTACTGCAATGCGCTCCAGAAGATTT